TTTGCTGATATCTGTGGCTGCTTTCATGGTAAAAATGGCAGGGTTGAGCACTTGTGACATAGGCCTAATGGCCCGCAAAACCTTAAAATATTTACTGTCTGGCCCCAAGGTTTGCTAAACCCTGGGCTGGGGAATTGAGGGGCAGAGAGAAGAGTTAAGAGTGTTGTAGTCATTCAGATGAGAGGGAGTGGAGGCTGACTAGGGTCATGGCGTTGAGGTTGCAGAGGGTGGGCTGGATTCCAGCTGCACTGAGCAGGCAGGTTCCTTACCTGCAGCACGTTTCTCTGCCCTGCCTCTAACCAGTTAGGCTTCTCCTCATGAACATCTTTACCCTCACCAGCAGACCAAGTCTCCTTCAAACTTCTTTCTTCCTGATTGCCCCTCCCACCTGTGACAGTCTCACCTGCAAAGTGGGGACAATGGAATGAAGTGACAGGTGTCAATGTGGGTGTTGAATACTACACATAGGCCGTTGTTGGGTTGCTCATCAATTGAGTGCTAGGGAGGTTAAGAGGGCCAGTGTTTCTCAGGGGTCCAGTGGAATGATTCCTTTTACTTCTTGTTTTGGTCTGCATAGAGGAGACTAGCCTCTGAGCAGGGAGCTCCAAATATGTGGAAAAAATGATTATTTGTTGTAAATCTCAAAAATATGCCATCATCTATAGTTTAAGGATGGGTTTAATCAGGGACCTTGTATTTGGGGTTCCACAGAGGAGCCACCATAAAAACTTGGCCTTTGGGGTTCACTGAGGCTTTCAAATACAAATCGCCTCTCAAAGGCAATATTTTGGTCCTTATTAAAATGATTTTAATTAGTTTCTTAAATGTAATAGGCTCTGTATCTCATTACCCATCTTAGAAACTAGCCAAGACCTTCATATTCTTTTCTTTATAGAACTGTTGGCATTTTCTTCTTAAGACTTGAAAAATGCTTTGGGCTGATTTTTAGATCTTAACATTACCCCACACCCCCACACTCCCACCTCTTCTCAGTACAGCTAAAATGTAATATAACTTGGGTCTAAGTGAAACAACTTGCAAAAGGAAAGCTACTGCTTTCTTTGTTCATTTCCCAAATACTTTGGTTATACTCCTATTTGCAAAGCACTAAGTGACACATGTTGTGGGCACTTTTTGTCCTGGAGTTGACTCTTCCATGAGGGAAGAAAGACCCAGACCTAGACTTACTTTAACCATTAGCTTTACATCATGGGGGTAACAGACAGCCAAGAGAGCCAGACTATATCCAGTTGGGAGGGTTAGCAAGACTGCTGGAAGAGAAGGTTGGAAGTGAACTTGAAGGCCGGGCACGGGCCATACAACCCTCCGTGAGCTGGCATTTGCCTATATTAGCCTACTTTATTTTCTTGCCCTCATTTCCCAGTAGCCTGAACACTGCCTTCCTACCCCTGTACACACACACACACGTGCATGCATGTGCGTGCGGGTGCACACGCGCGCGCGCACACACACACACACACACACACACACACACACACACAGGCATACGGACCTTGGCAGTAGTCCCTAAATAATCTTTCTTCAGTTTACTGATGATAGGATATGTAGGACACTGGCCTGGCTTCTAAGTGGGATCTCGTTTCTGCCCCGAGGACACACACTGGAGATGAGCATTAACTATTCTAATGAGTTAAATCTTAACTCCCCTGTCCTAGCGTACAGCAGTGCTATTGCTGCCCACCAGTGCTGGGTGCAAGAATTGAGATTAAGTCATTAGAGATACTTTCATACCAATTTGATATTGCTGAGGCATTTGTACTGTATTTTACAAAAATATCAGTTTATAACAGATTGGAGGGAAAACACCGAGTTCCTCACTGTAGATAGTTTGAGAAGCTGGTTATAGTTGATCACTATAACTTGGATATTTTTGATAGGAACATTTTTGCATATTTATTTCCCCTTCTAATACAAGCAAATAATCATATAAATGTTTCTTTAAAAATATCTCATTTTATTAATTGTGAAAGTAGCACGTCTTCATTGTGACAACTTGGGAAGTGCAGAATAATTTGTTCAGATAAACAAAAAAGGTAATCTATACATGTGCCACAGAGCTAACTACTGTTCACATTTTGGTGCATTTCTCTTGTCCTTTTTTTTCTGCTCATATATGAATTTTTTCTTACAAAAATGGGACACATGTACCTAATCTTTATTTTTATATATCCTAAGTATTTGCGTGTCCTTAAATATTCTTTTGCAAAGGGCTGCATGTTGCTATGTCATCTAGTTGTGCCATGATTTACCTTTTTTGTTTAGCTCTCCATTACTAACACTTATTTTATGCTCTCGTTTATTTGCTATTATAAATAATGCTTTGAGAATTTCTGTGAAAACATCTTTAATAGTATCACCGAATATTTCTTTAGCATGTATTTTCAGAAGTAGAAGTACTAGGTCAAAATGTGTGACTATTTCCAGGCTTTGATAAATTGCCCTTCAGAAACATTCAACTGAATTTCAGCTACCATCAGCCATGGATGTGGCTCACTGCACAGGATTGGTATTACCAGGGTGGGAGGATGTTGAGAGACAAAGATATGGACAGGAAGGAATGAGTGGTCCACTCAAGTGGAAGATGAGAGAAGTGCAAGATGCTTATGGGGCATGGAAAATGGCCTGTTGAGTAAAGTATGGTATATTCTTAAGGCAGTAGAAAAGACAGAAAAGTTGGGCTAAAATCCAGTTTGATAGAGCACTGAAAGCCAATTTAGAATGGTACTGGGGAGCCATTGGCAGATTTTCAGCTGGGAGATGAGAGCCCCAGGGCTTTGCCTTTGCTTGCACTGTTCCTTTTCCTAAATGTGCAGTTTTCCATATTCTGTCAAAATTCTACTTCTTCATCAGGGACCATCCCCAGAGTCTCTTCTGGGTACTTCCTGCTCGGTTTACACAGCACTTACTGGTATGATGTGCCATATTACCTTTGTTATAACTATTTGATGTGCTACTGTCTCCCACTATATGAGTTTCTAGTGAGTGACTCATTCATTTCCATATCCTTAGGTATCTACTGTCATGCTTGGTGCATAGTAGGCATTAATATGCATTTGCCAAAGAAATCTCAAATATTGCCTATGTCTCAGTCTGATCTTGCACATGTATACCCTAGCTGGGAGATGCATGCTTCAACAGAATAAGATATTGGTTGTCTGGGCTTAGTCTGCATTTCAGAGTCAGTTAGAATATTATAATAGGGTTCCATAATGGACACTCTGCTCTTAACCTCTCCCTTCACTTCCCAGAGACTTCCAGTTGTGACTTTTAGAGACCACTCTCAGTTCAAGTGAGCGGAGGGCTTGATTCTAGAATTGTTTGCAAATCATAGTTGTTTATGAGAGCTTTTACCTAAGTTTATGTCATAGTATTAATGACAAAAATTGAGAAATTGGTGACATATTTTGGAATTGGGTTCTCTGATTTGAAAGATGCCTTAAGTTGCTGGGTTGGGTTTTACTTTTAAAACTTCAGAACAAAAACAGAGTTCAAAGAAGACATCCATTTCCTTACTATCCAGAAGTAACCATTGTTAAATGTTGACAACACTTGTTCCTAGCCTCTCTTCTGTGTTTATACTTTTATTTTTAAGTGTATAAACAATACATCCACATGCTTGTTCCTTCCACCTTCCTTGCCGGATATGTATTTCTACTCCTCTACCCATCTATCTCTTAAAGGGCCAATTTTCATCCCACCTCTTTTTTTTCCCCTTTTAACCTAATTTCTTTTTAAAATTTGAAAGCCTACAAAAGTTATACATGGATACATGTTCATTTTTTTTTAAATAGCATGAAAAGAACATTCCTTTTCTTGACTTTTTCCAATCCTATTCCTCTCTCAGAATTCAGAATTTTCTTTTTATCTTTCCAGACCTTTTGCTGGAAACAAATTTATATATAAATAATTAGTTTTTTGTATAAGATTGTTTTTAAAAGACACACTGGTGTGATGCTTTGTGAAAAGGAATAATACATCTACCTGCTATTTTTATTTTAAGCTACTGTTAATACTTTCTTGCATGGTCTCCTCTACTCGTTCGGGTTGATCTGTTCCTTCTCTGGAATGTAACAAAAATACTTTCTTCTGTATATTCATAAATACATACATTCATTAAAACATGTAATCTTGCAACATGTGGTATATATCGTATAGTATCTTGAACATATTCCTATATCTACATACACAGGTGCCTTGTTCTTTTTAATGAGTATATAATATTCTATTGCGTGAATATCTATATATGTATGTATATAATTTAACCATTTCCTTACTGGTGAACTTTTTCATCTTTTCTGTTTGAAAATCTTGGATCCTTCTAGCTCATGTTAAGCTCCTTTTGCTTTGTTATGAATTTAAATTATTCAACACAGTCAACACTCATAGAATGCCTCCTTCCTTCCCAGCACTGTGAGGGTACTGGGACCACAAAATGCTTAGTGCACAGCCCCTGCCCCTCCCATTGAGTTATCATGGTCTAACAGGAAGACACACTCATAGAGAACTTAGAACATGGCACATGTTGGATTGGGTATATATGCTTTAGCATATATGCTATTCACTCCACTTAGGGAAAGTAAAGAAGGGGAAATTAGAATCAGAGGAGGAGGAGTAAGAGATCTTCCCTAGTGGCAAGAGAGGATTGTTCTTACAGGGAGAATAACAAGAACAAAATAGGTTGGCAGGAAAGGGAATGTGAGGTACAAAAATGGCCAGTAGCTCAGTATAAGGGAGAATGTTGGGCGGGGTAGTGGCTAGAGTTGTACTGTTTACTTAGCAGATGGTCATAGGAAACATTCAACAAATGAATGGAATCTGCCCAGTTGGACTCCAAACCCATTTGATTTTGTCGTCTCTGTGCCCTGCAGGGTGTACACGTTGTTGTCAGCACAGGGGGCTCTTTCTTGAAGTAGTCTGACCTCTTAAAAAAAATCTGTCCATTCTTGCACTCCTAACCCTGCCATGTCCTCTTTTTCCAGAGTTTAGTCATATCAGGAAATAGAACAGATTCAGCCATGGCCCCAAGGAAGAGAGGTGGACGGGGTATTTCGTTCATCTTCTGCTGTTTCCGAAACAATGATCACCCAGAAATCACGTATCGGCTGCGAAACGATAGCAACTTTGCACTTCAGACCATGGAACCAGCATTGCCCATGCCCCCTGTGGAGGAGCTGGACGTCATGTTCAGTGAACTGGTGGTGAGTCCGCGATTTCTGTCCTGGCATTGGTGGGGAGCCGGGGAGGGAGAAGAGGAGAGGATGTGGATGGGTCTGTTTGGTTTGCCTGGACTTTCTTTTTAATGAAACAGCCTACATCCATCCTTTTTGCCTGCACTCTTCCTGCCAGCCATGAACCTGTGGAAGAGGAAGAGTTCAAAGAGGGTAGCATTACTCATCGAAGTGCTTTGCCTGGTGCTTTAAGTGGGTAGAGAAATTTAGACATTCAGTTCTTCAAATATGTGGCAGTACTGTATCCTAAGTTGCCCTTCGTAATTTGCCCCACCCAACCTCAGTCTATACGTGCATGCATAAATAATTCCTTCATCTACTTCACACCTTCTGGGATTCCCTGATGCTCCCTGACTCCCACACCCAATGTATGGTATTAATGTGTTTTTAAAACTTAGTCATACTTCCATCTTGTTCTTGATCCTTTGGTGAGAGACATTATTACTTAAGTACAATATCATTATTAGCCTAATGATAGGATTAGAATAATAACTGTTGTGGGAATCTTTTTATAGATACTATCATATTTTAGAATTCACTGTACTGAAATAAGGGATGTATCTACTGTAGGACCCATTCATCTAGAGATGTAAGTGCACCCTTCAATTTAGCTTTTCAAACATCTTTGAAGTGATATTTCTTGCCATCCTTTGTTTCAGAGGATATTATGACATAGTTCAAAGGGCACTGGCACAGAAATTAGGACAACCCTGGTTCAAATTACCACTCTGACTTTATCTGCATGAGTATGGAAAAATCATGTTATTTTTCTGAGCCTGTTTTCTGGAGAATGGAGCAAAAAAATAATACCTCCTTCTAGGTTTGTTGTGATTGATGAGAACAGTACACAGTGGGAGTGGTCCAATGGCTGGCCTTAATAAATGTTACATGAGTGTTGTATCCTTCCTTGATCTCTGCTGGAGTTTGTCATGGAGTTAGTTCTAATCAGGGCATTTATCTTGTTCAACAAATACTAGAGAGTGCCATTGTTTTGCGGGTCAAGAGAGTAATGTAGGTTGTGTCACTGCCCTCCAGGGGTAATATCTGAACTGCCTGTGTCACCCCAGCTCTTATAGACTAGAATTTATTGATAAAGCAGAAAGGTGAGCTAGTTATATTAAGCTGATGTCTGCATACTGGTCTTCTGAGTGGAGTAATGGTCTATTACCAACTGGAGTTGGTTGGGAAAGAGAGATGACTCTTGGCAGCATGTTTATACTTTATGATGGTAAATATTTACAGTGTTTAAGGAATCTTTCCCCTCTCTCATCTCCACTGCATGAAGAACTCTGTTCTAGGTATTAAAGAGGAGATTCAAAACAGAAAGTTGAACCTGTCTCTAAAGGTCTGACAGTTCAGTATCAAAATGGGATCCATAATGAAGAAGGAATAAGGCCACCAGAAGAATAGGCACAAAACACCGGTGCATGCACTGTGTGTGTATGTGTTGCAGGGTAGCACCGGGTGATGAGGATGGTGGTCCCCCAGAATACTTTCTGGGGGACATGAGCTGTCAGCAGGAAGTAGAGATAAGAAATGGAGGGGATCTCAGTCATGGCCATCTCGGTCATCTCAAGTTAGTTTATGCTTTGATAGCAAAATCTCAGTGGCTATAACAGCAGAGCTTATGCTTGCTAGTGCTGCAAGTCCACTGTGGGTCAGCTGTGGTTCTGCTCCTTCCCATCTTCTGTCCAGTACCCAGGCCTGATGGAAGAAGAAAGACAGCTCTGGTGAGCTGCTCAGGGCTCCAAGCTTATGCTTGGAAATAACACAGCTCACTTGTGCCCACACTGCGTTGGCCAGCACAGATCACGTGGCCACACTTGAGTCCACAGGGTGAGGAGGTGTCACCCTTTGGTAGGGACTGGCACCACAAACCAAACCTGAGGTCACTGGGGTGGGAAGTGGGCACATTGTTCTTTTCCAGAGAGGGGCAGTGAATCATCTTACCATGATGGCAGCCAAAAAGGGCAGTAATGATGCATTTACAGGCTGGGCTGTATTTCCCACTTAAAGTGTTTTAAAACTGAAAGGCAACCCAGGGAGATAGGTGATAACTGAAGACCTCCTGGGTGGGAGTGGAGCTGGTGGGTAGAGCATTCCACATCCACAGTCCTTTCAGTGACATTCTGTCGGCCTTCCGAAATGGGCCCTGAGCAGGAGCCTGTGCAGTGGCAGCTCCATGTACATCTTGAAGACAGCTCATTGTTCTGTATTCATAAGGGAGAAAATTCCACTCTCTGCTTTATTGATGTCTCTATTCTGTGTGAAAATTGCCTACAGCTGTTATTTGTTAACAAGCCAATGCCAAACCAGAACTTTAAGCCGAAACCATCGGAAAACAAATTATCTTGAGGTTTGTATCTGTCCTGGTGAGTGACGGATGGCTTTTTGTCTACTCTTGACTTCAGGGACTTAGACCACAAATCCATCCAGTTGCCAGGGGTGGAGTGAGAGGTGGGCTCCCAGCCACTGGAAACCTCTGCCCTGGGTTCTCTGGAGGAGCTGCAGAAGCAGTTCTGACTCTGTCCACGTACAGGAGAGGGAGGCCACATGTGGGGGTGGAGAGCACCTGGGCTGTGGAGTCAGGCAGCTTTTCCAGGTACCAGGTCTGTAGCTAGGGAAACTTCCTTTAAGATGGTTTCTGTTTGAATTTGAGTTTTTTTCCTTGCCTACAAAATGGGGATAATACTGTCTCTTTGATAGGGTTCGTGTGGAGATTAAAGAAGGTAACTTCTTTAAAAAGGCTGGGACCTAATTAATAAGTGCACTCCAAATCTTAGCACAGTGAGAGGGATGGGAAATAATTTGAGTGTTTTGACTGAAGACTCTAAGCAAATAACCTGGGTTTTTCCTTTTCTTGAAAGCTAATCTGCTTGCTGTGAGCAAGCCAACATGAGCCCTAGCTTGCGGGCCATCTTACCTCTGTATCTGTCGGAAAGCATCTCATCAGAGCTGGTTGTTGTTAAGCTAAGTTTCCATTGCTTGGTCCGATGAGTCACTTGTTTGACATTTTTAAGAGTGATACCAAATAGGTTTCCTTCAGAATTGCTACTGCAGCCATATTGTCTCATAAATAAAGCAAGCCTCGATAGGAGGTCAGCCGTGCGAATCTGTAAAGAAGGTGGGCAGCAGGGAGTAGCTCATTCTCTAGCAGCCTTCCTGCCACAGGCTAGGGAATCAGAATTATTCCAGTTTCAGGACATTATGGTTTCTGGATGTCCCAGTCTCATATCCTGCCTAACTTTTTTTTTTTATAACAGCTTTATTGAGATATAATCCACAAACTTTATAACTCACCTATTTAAAGTATACAATTCTGTGACTTTTAGTATATTCATAGAATTATGCAACCATCACCAAAATTAATTTTAGCAACTCCATAAAAAGCAACCCCCATTCCCAGCTTTATTGAGATATAATTCATGTGGTACATAATTCATCTGTTTAACATGTGCGATTTGTTGGCTTTTAGTGTATTCATAGACCTGTGTAACCATCACCAAAATCAATTTTAGCAGCCCCCCTAAAAAGCAACCTCCAAACTCATTAACCTTCCCTCTGCATTCATCCCCAGCCCTACCAGCCCATGGCAACTACTAATCTACCTTCTGTCTCTGAGAATCTGCCTGCTCTGGACAGTTCATATAAACGGAGTCATGCAATATATGGTCCTTTGTGACTGGCTTCTTTCACTTAGCATAATGTTTTCAAGGTTCGTCCATTGTAGCCTGTACTAGTACTTCATTTCTTTTCATTACTGAATAACATTCTATTGTGTGAATGTACCACATTTTGTTTATCTTTATATCATTGATGGACATTTGGATTGTTGCTGGTTTTGGGCTATTATGAGTAATACTACTATAAATATCCATATGTAAGTTTTTACATGGAAATATGTTTTCAGTTCTCTTGGAAGTGGAAAAATATACCTAGAAGTGAAATTGCTGGGTCATGTGGTAACACCATGTTTAATTTTTGAGGAACTGTCAGACTGTTTCAAAGTGGCTGTACCATTTTACATCCATATTTTACAGGAATATATTAGAGTTCTAGTTCCTCCACATTTTTGTCTATGTTTGATAGGTATTATTCATACTGTGCTGATTAAGTAGTTGCTTTTAAAGCTATTCTATAGCCTCTAAGGGACTGAAGACATATAACTTGGGAATTGTGTGTGTGTGTGTGTGTGTGTGTGTGTATGTGTGTGTGTATGTAGGGGGTGTGTGTGTAAGAGTTGTCAAATAGAAATAAAATATCTCTGCTGATAATTTTTTTCTCTTTTTAAATTTTTTTTGGTTTTTCCATTCCTCCATTCTTGGGATAAACTCTACAAATAATTTTTAAATTATTCAAGATATTTACAAATAAAACGCTAGGAGTCTGTTTAATCTCTGCTAACCATGTATCTTATGCCTTTTGATCGTCAATTCCTTTTTCCTTGTGTTCTCTCCTTCCCGCTCCTCCTCCCCTCTCCACGTTGTCTTCTTTGCCCTCTGCCTCAGTCAAAATGAAGAACATAACCAATCTAAGGCTTAGTGCTGGTCTCTTATAATAATGTTCAGCTATATTCTTTTCTCTCTATGGGATTTTTTTTTTTAAGAGATGGGAGTCTCGTGTTATTGCCCAGGCTGGAGTGCAGTTGTGCAATCATGGCTCACTATAATCGTGAACTTGTGGGCTCAAGCAATCCTCCTGCCTCAGCCTCCCCAGTAGCTAGGACTATAGGTACCTGCCACCATACCTGGCTATTGATTGATTGACTGATTGATAGGGTGTCACTGTGTTGCCAAGGTCGGTCTCAAACTCCTGGCCTCAAGTGATCCTCCCACTTTGGCCTGCCAAAGTGCTGGGATTACAAGTGTAAGCCACTGCATCCAGCCTCTACAGGCTTTTAAAGGTTCTTAGATGATCTCATCCAACCTATTTAAACAGTCCTAAGCATGACAACTCTATAAATTGTCCTT